CCTGCGCGGTGCGCGCCCCCGCCCGCCGCCCCCGCCCCCGCCCCCGCTCCCAAGCGCCCCTTCCGCGGTGTGTCTCGTGTAGAGAGAATATGTGATTATGTGAGACCCTCGCCTGTGTGGCTGTGCGTGTGGGTGTGCGTAGCAAGTGGAAGATCGGTGCGCCCCCCGCCGGCGCCTCCGCTGCGCGCTGCCGGAGCCGCCGTGTCGCGTGTGTGCGACACATATAGCTGTGGCGCAAGTTTGTGTTTGAGACTTTGAGAGTGAGTGAGAGCCTCTAACTATCAAACTTCAAAGAATAAAAGATGAGTTTGTCGTAGCGCGTAGCGGCTAAAAAGAAAGAAAGAAAACGGACAACCCAAGAGAGGGATGGGAGGACGGCACGCCGCCACCACACAGGGATTTTAAGGAGAGGTGTGTGGTGCGCTAGCCGTCGCCCACCCTAGGGAGTCTGCCTCTTCCTATCTCTCTTCGCAGTCTTCTCTCGCCGCTTCTCGCTGCAACCTTCATGCCACCTCGCGGTCGTCCCACTCTCGTCGTTCTCTCCCTTGTCATTTCCTCCTCTGTCGCGTCGTTCTCTTCTGCCTCGTAGCGGCTGTTAGGGACCCGTTAGTTTGGTTGCTTTTTCTTTCCGAGACCCGCACACCTAGCGAGCAAGCGGCACAGCAAAGACGTGAGCGGTGCGGATGCAGATCGAGCACGAGGAGGAGAGCCGAATGCAGATCGACGATGAGGAGAGCTGCGCGCTCGGCGCCACATCCTCGCCGCAGCCGTCGGACGCCAGCGCCACCCTCGCCACTGCGGCGCCCGCCCGATTCGACGTGACGCCCGCCGCCGCTGAATCTCCCGACGAGTCGCTTCCGGACCTACTTCAGCAGCACGCTGCAAATTTGCTGCAGAGTTGGACGCTGAGGGGGAGATTCCAGACGGCCTCCCCGTCAAGGTTGGAAGGGACACGCCATCGGTGTGCTGCTGCTCTGCCGCCCCGCTCGTACACCTCCCGCCGCCACATATCAAACTGCTCATGCCCGCTCCCCATCCCAACAGTGTATCGATGCCGCGCTCGAGCACGAGCGCACTAAGGAGCCGCTCGGATCGATCCTCCGTCGGCGCGGGTCCCTTGACAAAAACACGCGGCATGTCACAAAGTGGCTGCCTGCGGTGCGGAGGCTGCTTGAGTGCGGCGTGCTGCATTTTGGCCCCGTCGGACCGACTGCGGAGCAGGCTGCGCTGCGAGAGCGGTACGCCGAGCTGGTCACGCAGTCGCGCCGCGCTCTCGTAGAGGCGAAGCTGCCTCGGCGTCGCGGAAACGGCGGCGACGTCAACGGCTCGCGGCCGTTCTTGGACTGCTTCGAGCCCGCACTCACCGCCGCCGTCCGCTTTCGAGCGGGCGACGCGAGCTCCGCAGAGCAGGCGGCTGCCGACTGCGGCGTCACGAAGGGGGCGGTGCTCTTCTGGGACGAGCAGCTAGAGTGGGCGGCAGACCCGGCTAAGCGGCAGCGCGTCTTCGCAGTGCCGCAGCCCTCTCGGGACGCGGCTGGCGAGCCGAGCGGCGTCGAGGCGAGCGGCGGCGGCGAGGCGAGCGGCGGCGGCCCGCCTGCCGCTGGAGCTGGAGATGCGGCTGGCGAGCCGAGCGGCGGCGAGGCGAGCGGCGGCGGCCCGCTTGCGGCTGGAGCTGGAGATGCGGCTGGCGAGCCGGCCGGGCTGCGCGATGAGGGGCAGCAGCTGCGCGAGGAGGTGCAGCGGCTGCACGCAGAGGTGCAGCGGCTGCGCGCAGAGGGGCAGCGCTCTGAGTCGCTCTCGAGCGAGCTCGAGAAGCTGCAGCTCCTCCCACGGCCAGGGCCGCCGCCCGGGCTCCCCCGCTGGAGGTTTGGGCCCGATACCGTTTGGGACCGGCCGGTCCGGAAGCACTGCAGCGAGATTGCCCTCGGAACGTTGGAGTTCGGCGCCGGGATCGTGACCTTTGAGCGGGACGAGATTCGATGGACCTTCTCCATGCCGGAATCCCACTCGTCTCACTGCTTCCCGTGGCCCTCGTGGACGCTGAAGCTGAGGACTGCAAGTCTCTGCTCCGCGTCCGCGAGCGACATCGACTTCGACCTCTCCCTGCGCGGCTTTGTGGACGTGCCGTTGGACTTGCGAGGCTACGACCTTTCCTGGGAGTTGTGCCGTTTTGCTCCCAGGACGTCGCCGACCACTTCAATCGGCACGTCCATCGCCGACCACTACGACCCCTTCTCCCAGCCTGGTGCGCGGCACTCCGCTATGCGACCAGCGCGCCAGCACACGCGACCCGCCCCTTCCGACGCTCCTTTCCTGTTGTTGCGCAGGCTCGGCCAAGAGCTACATCCGCCTCCGGTTCGACAGCAGCAACGACCGCCTCGAGGCGCTCGAGGCTGTGCCGAGGATTCGCGAAATTCTCCGACTAACAATTATGACGGACGACTGTGGCGGCTACTATTGGGGGCCCTTCCACCCGCGCGCGCAAGATGAGCCGTGGATGGCCGCAGAGCGAGAGAGGCGCGGACGGAGAGACGAGCGGTACGACCCGGCAGCGGTAGCGCGTTTGTGGGAGGAGGGCGAGAGGGCCAGAGAGGAAGCGGGAGAGGCAAGCGCAGCCGCGGCGTCGCAGCCGGCAGCGTCACCGCGGCAGGGCGCGGAGCCGGAGAGGCAAGCGCTGTCGGCCTTCTTCGACTATCCGGCAGCGCAAGCTCTCGCCGGCTGTCAGGCCTCGTGGAACCCAGCTGGGGTCTAGCTGTGTCCTGTGATCCGTCGAACTTTTATGTACGTAAAAGAGGAATGCAGAACATCGGCCAGGGGAGGGACGACGCGGCCAGAAAGAGGTTAGCGTTTGTTGTTGTCTTAATTTCCAGCAACGACGAACGAGCAAGCAAACCCTGCCTAGACCGAGTTCGAGTACAGCTAAATAAACCTAAAGAGACCCACCCGGGGCTCCCCACCTTCGTGTGAGGGCCCGTGAACATCTTCAGCTTGAGAGAGAGAGAGTTTTGAAAACCAACAAGAAATCGCGACGGCTCACCCTCTACCTACCTACCTAGCAACACAAACAAACTCTCTCTCCTACCTAGCTAGCCAGCGCGAACTCGCCGTCTGAGCCTAGCGCAGCGCGAACTCGCTCTGAGCCTAGCGCAGCGCGAACCCGCGCACATAAAAGCTTTTGCGCAGCAACCCGCGGCCGGGCAACCCTCACAAAAACTTATTGGAGACGACGAGCGGCGGCGCACCTTGGTGAAAGCAGGCGCTTCCTCATGGGCTGCGGGACGAGCAAGCCAGCTGCGCTTACCGCCGCCGACCACAAGGGCATCCCGCCGCTGGCGGCCCTCGACGAGGCGCTCGTCGCTGCCCTCCGCTCGGGCGCCATCAAGCTGCTCCGCACCGAGTTCCTGCGCGCCGACGGCTCCGAGGCGGTGCTGCCCGAGCTCCTCCGCCGGCAAGAGCTGGAGCGAATGGAGGAGGAGAATGACATCCGCATCTTCCTCACGCCGGAGGAGGCTGTTGCGGCGCTGCGCTCGCTGAGCCGCGAAGTCGCCGGGCTGACCTACGGCTGGGCCTCGCCGGACCACCCCGACGTGACCGGAGAGTATCTGGCGAACGTGCGACGCTTCCTGCGCCACCCGCTCGGCGAGCACGTGACCGCTCTCTTCTGGGAGTGCGCCGCCGCCCCAGACCCACCCCGGACCCAGTGGCTGCGCTGCGTTATAGGCAGGCCTTCCCTCTGCGCCTATCCCTCACTTGAGGCTTCTCTCACACTCTGCCGCCCCCGCCCCCCGTGCGCCCCCCCTCCGCAGCTTCTCTTCCCTCCCGCAAAAGCCAAGGACGGCGGCCGAGGACGACTTCTTCTATCAAGCGCTCAAGGTCCGCGCCGCCTTCTCCCCGCCGCCCTCTGCGCCCGCCGCTCTTCTACTCCCCACTCTCTCGCCCGCGCGCATGCCCTTGCTTCTCCTAACGCCTCCCCTCTTCCTACCCCTCCGCAGGTCATGGGCGACGTATACGCCTCTCTCTTCGGCACGATCGTCATCCGCCACCGCTCCGTGCCAGCCCGCCCGGCGGAGCTGGACGGCGAGGTGGTCATCCTCGTCGAGAAGGGCGGCGGGCTCGACGGCGCCGGCGCCGAGGCAGAGCTGCGCAGTGCTCTCGGGGCGTTTGAGAACCCGCGCTACGAGGAGGGCCGGTGGCGCGTGCGCTTCCCAACGCACGCGGCGGCGGAGGAGGCGGTCGAGGCAGCAGCTGCAGCGGGTGCGCTGCCGGGCGCGATCGCCGTCTTCCTCTTCTACAACGGCCGCCCTTACCTCGCTCGCGGGTGCGCACCCCCCCCCCCCCCACCCCACCCCACTCCACCTCTCTCCCTCTATTCTACCCTTTCCTACCGCCCCCGCCGCCGCGATGCGGCGTGCGAGAGTCCCTAACCCCGCTCTCAGAGGTGCTCCCG